TTCAGGGCTGTGAAAGATCCAGCGACTTTCGAACAATAAAGCTATGTTCATAGCCATGATATTCAGCAAAACACAAAGCAGGAAGTAATGGCTTCTGGTCTGAATTATTCCAAGGGAGCTCTGAGTTGTCCTGGTAAGGAACACCAGGGCCAACCTGGGGACCTGCCACCCTATTGCCTGCAGCAGGAAGGAGACCATCCTGGATGTTCCCCACATTAGCCTGCAGTGGACAGTGACGGTCTTAGTCATGCTCGTGGCTTGAAGAGTTTAAGGAAATTCTTAGCAATAGATTCTTATGTGTATGCATTCAAACATGTATCCATTTACAGAGCAAGCACATGCTTAAAATTGTAAATGGCTTTGTTACTTAGGTCATCTTTAAACTCTGTGACAGCATCGCATACTGAATTGTCTCTTCTCTCTGTTTCTTTTTCTTTTCTTTTCTTCTTCTATTTTTTTTTAGAGCAACAATTTCACAGCCCTCTTGACCCTATTAACATTCCTGTCTTGATGGTACCTTTGGAAGCAATACCAACTCACACAATAAGAAACATGACATTGACTAACGAAAAAAAGTAGTATTGCTTTTGACACCAAGTTCTGAGATGTAATAAACTTTCCTCTTAATTACTGTGATAATTTTTGCTTGTTTTTCTTGATCATGTCCACTGAATGATAAGCGATATTCTACATGAGACAAAGTGTCAAGGATTGCAAAGAGAAAAGGAATAAAGAAGCACAGAAAGAGGAAGAGGAGGCTGGATTTACAATGAGGATCAGCACCTATTCATTTTTATATAAAAGAAGACTGGCTTCTACAATATGTTATATAAATTTCTGGGTAAGTATTAGATCTGTCCTGCCTAGCTTCTGCCCCATACAAACAAATTGGGTTTATAACCAAACACCTGATAGCTATGCACCGCATGGACACATACATGCCAGGAATAAAATTGTATAAAATCAGGAAGGGAGTTCATACATAAAGGGCTTTAAATATGCATTAAGTTGGACATCTTTCCAAGTTTCCTGATACAGCTGACCAGTTCATTGCCTTAACCAGAATACTCTACGATTGTGTATTCTGATGTCAGATGTTTAATGCTTCCATTGTAAACAATTACTGTCAAATAATTCTCACTGATAATCTAATGAGCTTCTCTATTTGCCCAGTTTCCTACAGAGAATTACTGTGTTGTTGGGAAAGTCATGACACATTTTTGCATAGAAAAAAAAACACACACACACAGAAAAGTACATCATGACAATCCAATGAAGAGCAAGAAGCAAATGTATAGAATAGTTTAGCAGTGCCTCCCAAATCCGTTAGAAATCTGTAGTCACATCTATTCTTACAGAACTCTACTGCAGAATAACTTCATTGCTCTCCTGAAGAATTATCTACCACTACCCCACACGGAGAAATAGACCTCTTTAAGAAAACTGAGATCTAATAGATTATAGAGCCACTTACTCCATTGATCACTGGCTCCTACAATAAAGTCTCACATTAAGAGGTTGAGAGATAGAGATGGAGAGAGTGACAGAGAAGATTTACTGCCACCTACTCGTTCACCATGTTTCCCAGGCTTTATAGACTTAATCTTGAATTAATGAGCCTGTTACATGATATCTAATAAAAATGACTAAAGTAGAGATGCTGTTTGGAATCTGCCATGTATTTGGTTCGAGGCTGAATCGATTTCACCTATATTTAATACATGCTTGTTTTCTATCTCACTTGTCTCCCCCAGAGCCTATGGCTTGTCCTTTTTTTTTTCTCATCTGGGAAACTTATCTTCCAAAATGCTACCATCAATCAGCCAAAGACACTCTTCCCGACAGAGTGTCTGCCAGTTCGACTAAGCACAAGTAGTCACTAGTTTGGGGATGCCTCCTACACTCAAAAGAGCCATGTGTTTTTCTATGCTGCCTAACCACACAAGAGCAATTTGGGATATTTATACTTACTGAAGTTTCTATTGAGATAATAAGCATTGCCTTTACAGAATCGGGCACGGGGCATGGTGTGGAATTGAAGGTGCACATGTTGCTTAGCCACCTACTTTTGACGTTATTCCTTTGGATTTTTGCATTTCCACTCATTTTGGTCTGCTTTGGCTCAGTGCCTGCTCAAAGAGTATGAAAATCAACTGTCTACAAGATGCTCACAGGGATGTGAACCCTTTGTCCCCAAAGCAGTCCCTGACAACTCACACTCTTCAGCCCTGTATGTCGAAAAGATTCCCAATACATTCAAGCCTCTAAGCTTACATTTTACAGCATGAAAGAAGGGGGAAGTAAAAGCGAGCAAAAGTAGGGTTGTCTAGAGAAGTCAAGCACTGGTAGAAGGGAAGGAAAGAGGGGGAGCGGGAGTCAGGTGCCCTCCCCCTCCCAAGTCCCAGTCATGAACACACCCGCTGGTCACAGCACAAGCACACAGTGCATGGGCACAGGTGGGTCCCAGCCTCTCAGGCTGGATGCAGCTTAAGCACCAAGCCTGAATGAAGACTTTCATTGCTGTTTGCTGTTTTTGTTGGCCAGTAGCCATGGCAAACATTTGCAGGTGGCTTGGCCAGATTTTGACACTTAAATATTTGAGGTTGTGATAAAAATCAGAATATTACTACAATATGGTTCTGTGCAGCCTCAAAAAAAAATAATAAAATAAAAAAAGCTATCTGCAATTTCAAATGTTCATTTAAAGACACAGTCTCTAGAGGGAACTCAAGTTTTAAAATAAGTACTCATTTCCTCTTTGCTGAGAGAAATAAAGAGTCAGCCATCCCCAAATATTACCACCTAGAGTTTCGTACTGAATCCTTGGTGAGATGGGCCGGGTTGTTTCTTGCTGAGCCCCCACGATCATCCGGGCAGGGTTTTTAGATGGGTCACAGGGAAGCAAAAAAGAAAAAAAAAATGGAAATGACAGGATGTGCGGGTTAGAATCAACATGGGAAGCACGACAGGGAAGAATCTGAAGAAAAGAAAGGCCTCCCTCCAGCTTGGCAGTGAGACAAAGTCCTAAAAGTTACAATTATCTCCTAGAACACATCAGGAGAGACATACAACACCCCAGGATAGGGAATAAATGGGAAAGAGGGAGTGTGTCCGGAGGTCATGCATACCAGAGAAATCTCTCCTCCATCTAGGAATAGTGTCACAGCCTGCAAATGTCACACGAATGTACAGTCCTGAGCTAGCTGGGTGAATTATTGACAGAGTCAATTTCCATCTTAAAATTTAGTACTAACCCTTAAAGGCTGTTTCATAAAAACCAGCATTGCACTAACAATGGCTGAATACTAAGGGCCTCCAAGAGGGGAGCTGATAGGGGAACCGGGGAGGCAGGAGAACTCCAGGGGGGAAGGAATGCTGTAAAACTGCTAGTAAACTGGAGCACATTTTATGCTTTTTCCCCTTGAAAGAAAAGTAAAATAATTACAATTAGCTGGTCTAACTGTGAATCGTCTGCCCAAACCCAAGCCACCAGAGTGAAGGAGTCTTGAGAGTCAGATGCTGTCTCTAATGAATTCACTCCACCCTCTTACTATATTACGGGTTCTTGCTTTAGAAGGTGGCAACATTTATTCTCATAGTCATTTGAGAAGAAAAGAAATCTTTGACAGAGACACTTGCTAATTTAGTGCTGGCTTCTTTAAACAAAGCCAAGCTTTGAAATGGCCAGATTAATTCTCTGTTTCTTGTATGGGAAACTAGAGGTACCCACGGCCTACTCACGAAATAGTCACTACCTGAGACTCTTGCTTCAGGAGGTGGGTTTGCACATGTCACAACCCATCCTGATGAGTTGAGAAAGGAGAGACAAGAGACCTCTTCTGGAACATTCTAAGGAAGAATGAGCCAGTGTCACCCCAGAGCTCCCTCTTTGCTGGGTTCTTACAACATTACAAACAAGAGGGGAAAAGATACATTTACAACCTGTGGAGAAGCTTCCAAATATTTTTTTAATCACCATATTTGATATTCAACTGCAAATTCAAACTAACTTTTGATCCATGTATCAAACACAGTAAGCTCCCTTTCTTACTTTAAGCAGGGAATCTGGGAATGATAGAGCACCCCATTCTCAGCAGTCAGACACACAAATTGACCATAGCCCTGTGGCTTAAGTGATTACCCTTTCTTCCTAAGAACCCCAGTACTCTTAAATCTTTTATTTCATCTTTCCTTTTGTGAGGTTGAAAGGAACAGACACCATCCTCATTCTAGAGATAAGGAAGCTGGGTCAGAGAGTCTACATTTCTCAGAAGCTCCAGGGTAATGCCCATGCCGCTGATTCCCAGACCACAGTCTGCGTCGCAGGGGCTAGGCTAGAGCTCTCTCACCATACCAAGATGTAAGAGAAGGTCGACCCGAGAAAGGCTATCTGGGATTTGGAGACAGCCTCTTCCTACCAACTTACCCTCAAAGCCTCAGTAGAGTCTTTTTACATAAATGAGAGGGAGAGGGCCTGCTTTCTTTGTTTTGTCTAATCCAAAAATGAGTGTGGACCAATGTAAAGAGAAGGAAGAGCTAATAAAGAGGTACTAACCAAGAAGGAATGTAAGCATGAGCAGAAGGGAAGAGGACAATGGAGACACAGTAGACACTAGTGAGGGGTTTAACAGCTCTCAGGAAGAGAGGTAGGCTGGTAGAATTTCCCTCCACCATCATCAAGCATTTGTCCTGAGCATGATGTTCTGGTCTCTATAAAATCCCAGGTTTACCACAGTCATCTTACAATTCACAAATCTTGTCTGAAGGTACGATGACACAGAATGATCTGCTTCCCCCAACACCCAACCCCAGGTCCAAGATCAAAACAGCTTCCACCAAAATGAGACTCCTCCTTCCATCTGAACCATCACATTGAGCTCTAAGCAATATCATATTATCCAGGAAAATGAACCAAGCTGAGCATCAGAAACAAGGAGAAAGTCCAGAACATTCCCTGGGCTCCAGCCAGGACATAGAGACAGTTGAGGAGGTCTCCTTACCCAATCTGGCGGTTGGTAGAAGGTGCCTGTGTGATGACAGAGCTGGACTGGGGCGACGGCATGGCTTGCTGAATCACCACACTCGTGTCGTGGTTGGGCATCCGGGTACTGCCAAGCTGGTGAGCTCCGGGCCCCGTCATAGCCCCACCAACAGTGTTATGGATCGAGATATTCTGCTCAGAGAAGACAGGGGAGAAAGGTTAGAAGGAGTCCATGTTTTATTCTACTCTCAAAACCTCAAAAAGCCAAAATCAGGAAATCTGCTCATGTCAACTGAATAGAGTTATGGCTCCTGGCAAGCCTTGGGCCCATTTATTTTGTTATAACTTATAGCTGTGAGGAGATGAAAAGTAACTACCTACACATACAGTAAAGCAATAGGAAAATGTCTTGACGTTTACTTATCACTCTGCTGCTATCCAAATATGAGGTATCCATAGGGATGTTTGTTGCATACCTTCTCTGATTTGGTGTGATATAGGCCACATTTTTAAATGATTTTTAAAAAATTTGCCAGGGGGCACGTGTGCTTGCCAGAGTCAGATGCTGTCTCTGAGAGACAAAGGTAAGTGAAAAAGCATCCCCTCACACACAGAGGGGAGAGTTATTCTGCAATTCCTTCTCTTCCATTTCTCCATCCTTTTGGGATTTTGAGCACACATGAACATGTGCCCACTATGTTTTCAACACGGGCATGGCCTGTGTAGTCAGCCATGTGGCCTGTGTAGTCAGCCACGTGAGATCCGGCCACTTTGAACACCAGGACATGAGCTGATCCCATTGTAAAATGAATTGTATGGTAAGTACCTAATACTGTGATTGAGTGAATTTAGTCCTGCATTCTGCTTTCAAAGACAAGCACACTGTAATTGTTTTTCATTTTTAGTCCTATAAGAGTAACCAATCATATACATATATATTTTTTTTTTCCTGGAGAATTACAGCCTTTTCAAATCATAATCTAGGTATTCAAGACACAAGCGACAATCTTTGGAATGAGCTTGAGGTGTAGAATAGAGTATGGGGGTTCCTGAATCCACAGAGAAATGAAGAGGTTCAGCTTTCTGCTGTCTTTTCAAAAATCCATCTCTAATGATAAAGAATAATGGAATACAGAGTAACAGTCTGAGGGTCTGTTTACTCGTTCATTGTATTTTCCTCTAGAAAGTAGACTGTGTTCACAACTCTAGAGCATGGTGCTTAGAACACAGCATGCATTCAAAAACCTATCTTAGTAGCGGCAGGGACAAAGAAGAACAGCGGGCTCATTTGAGAGACCTCCTATCATGGATTTACCTCATGGTGGCTTTCTGGTTTAAACTGCAAAGTAAGGTAAAATATGCAAGATAATACTGATTTAAATGACCACTTTTCATGGAAAAGAAAGTCACTAGGGAAGATAGAAAGAATTGACATTGAGCCAGAGGAAAGTTGATTGACACACAGTTTGAGGCTGCAATGTGCAAAAGAAATTCAGAATCTGGTAAAGAAAGAGAAAATGCAGGGCCAAGCAAAGTAACAAGCCAGGGCAGCATGTGGGCTTTTGTAAACAGCTGGGCACAGCGTGTCCATTCAGGAGGTTAGGGAAATTTGAGAGGTCAGTTGGACAATGGGTCGAGGATGAGAGAAAAGAAGTGAAGTGTCACTAGCAATTTACTAGAGGAAAAATATATATCTGTCTGCGCTTTGGTGTTAGCAGAGAAAAAAATAAATGTTACCCAGGAGAACTAAAAGTGGTTCTTTGAAGTTCTTCTGCAAAGAACAGGATTTCCTGCACTATGTGTTAAATGATGGTGATAACATATATGGTATTTGGGGTGGTTGAGTCCATCACGTTGCGCCTTGCCAAGGGTTCTGATTTCCAGATCCTGACCACACAGTTTGTCAGGAGTCCAGATGGAAACTGGGCACCTGGTTTAGACTGTGAGCCGACTATGTCGTCGTGGGATCCTGAACGCATGAACAGGCTAATATACACACAGGCTCCTCTTATACTGGCGAGTTTTTCAGACATGGGAAAATATTGTGGTTATGTAAAGTGAGATGAAAGAAATAGTGATTTACTTTGGGGTGGCAGTGCAAGGGGGACTTCTTTTTATAGGAGTATCTAGAGATTTCAAGAATCAGATAAAAAATCATTTTAAAAAGTAAAGATAATTGTGTTATTTCTTTCAAAAGCAAACCTTAGCAGAATTATTTCCCTGGGTCTTAATAAGGTCCACACTTACAGACTTTATTTTTTCCACTCTTTAGCTCCCTGGAGATACTCAAAATTGTTCATCTTGCTAGCAGTCACCTACTTTGTCAGTAACAGATCCAAGGCCTGGATGGATTTCGGACTGTCTTTTTAGAATTGTTGCATTGCACTGTGCTATCAGAAATGATCAATAAAGCTGTGAAACTTGATTTTGAAGATCACAATCTTTAAATTCACAAATCAGAATATAAAATTAATCTTCCTTAAGTTATCCTGGACACCTCTTCTCTATCAGCCCCATAGTCAATCCCCAAGTCCTATAAATTTAACCTAAGCATTCCTCATCTCCCTTTCTTTCTCTCTCTCTCTCTCTTTCTTTTAAAGGTTTTGGCCATAGGGCATGTGCACTTGCCAGAGAGACAGAAAGAGACAGTGAAAAGAAAAGTAAGAAGTAATCCTATAGGGGGCATGGTCATGCCACAATCCCTTCTCCTCCATTCTCCTCTTGAGATTTTGGGCATATGCATACTCCCGCCCAATGTGAGTTTCAAGGCACCAGATCTAGGACTCAAACCTCAGTCAGTCATGTGAGAGTCCAGTGACTTAACCACCATGCCACCTGCTGACCCCTATCTTTATCTTCCCATCCTTCCTTCCTAGACCCAACCACCATCATCTATCATCTTCTTTCTTAGACATGACAAGAGTCTTCTAACTTGCTTCCTTTATCACTCTGGGTTCTGAAGTTCTTTTTATACATACTGCAGCCACAATGATCTTTCTCTCTCTCTCTCTCTCTTTTTAAAGAAGTTTTTGCTATAAGATGCATGTGCTTGCCAGAAAGACAGAGGGAGACGGAGAGACAGAAAGCGAGAAATCACCCCCAAGGGGGGATGGCCATGCCTCAATCACTTCTCCTCCATTCTCCTCTCGGGATCTTGGGCATGCATGCACATGCACCCGGTGTGAGTTTAAGCCACCGGGTCTGGGACTTGAGCTGTGGTCAACTACATGGGAGTCCAGCGACATAGCCATTACACCAACTGCTGGTCCCCACAATGATCCTTTATAAAGGCAAAACTGATCATATCACACACAACTCCCCCTAGTTACTTCCTTCCCCAAGTCGCTGGATACCTTTGTGTAATTTGGGAGATGCTGACAACATTCTTTATGTGACCTCCCCCAAAGCCTGTGTGACTCTCCCTGCTCCCCAGTGCATCTCTCACCACCTTCACTCCTGCTGTTTGTGATTAATCCCATCTTTTTGGACATTTCCTGCTGTCATTCTGACCATGCTTTATTTCAGCACCAGGCCATAGAATATATTGTTTTTTGGCAACAATGATCTTGCCCAGACTCCACTTTCAAATATCTGATAAAGTGACCGGTCAATGGTATAATGGTTATGTCACTGGACTCCCATGTAGTCAACGACGGTTCGAGTCCTGGACCCGGTGGTTTAAGACTGCCAGGCATATGTGTGTGCATGCCCAAAATCCCGAGAGAAGAATGAAGGACAAGGGGTTGGGTTGTGGCATGATCATTCCCCTGGAGGGTGATTTCTTGCTTTCTGTTTCTCTGTCTCTCCAGCGAGCACATGCACCATATAGAAAAAGAACTCTCTCTCTAAAAAAAAAATATATATATATATAATATATATATGTATACACACATACATATACATACATATATATATGATTAAGCATCACATGAGAAAGCCTTTCCTGAACTCCCCAGGGATGAACATCAACTCCTTTTCCCTTAGAACATTTTTCACAAGTTTATAATTGTTTCTGATTTGGAGATTAATAGCTGCTTCTTCCCTAGACTGTAAACACAAGAGCAGGAACGAAATCTGCTCCTCACCCCACCCTATTGTCTCCACGCCTGCATCAGTGCCTGGAGTACTACAGATGTTCAATAAATAATGAGCGAATGAGTGAACTAGAAGTCACAATTTCTAGAATATTCTGAATTATTAAATCTTATTTCTTATTCCTTGGTCAACTTTTAAGAGAGCTAATGTCTTATTTATTCACGTTGAGATCTGAAAATAATACCATAATACAGCTTTAGATATTTAAGCGCTTGTTTACTTATAGGCTGGATAAGTGGAGAGCATCAGGTTCAAGAGTACCACAGTCATGGCACGTATATTGGTAAGTACAGTCTTTGAAAAAAGTATTAAGAGAGCTGAGAGGTGAGTTTCTAATCTTTGAGCACTTTGGGTCAAATGATGGTGACAATCATTCTTTACATCTGCCATAAAACTCAAGAAAAACTAATTTATGCTACAGCACAAAGAACTTTGTTTGATTTCTTCAGAGTAACATGAATTAAAGAAGAGAAATAAGTACCTTCCCGTTCATGGAAAGTATAAGAAACTTTTTGAGAATCATTACAAAGAATAAAAAGTACTGCTATTTCCTAAGTATATCTGTCTAGGAATATATTTCACACTCTTCCCCATCAACATTTTAAAGGCATCTCTTTGTCTCTGTGATCTCTGTCAGAGATGAAAAAGGCTTCTAAAAGTCATATCGTAAATCATCAATAATCTCCTCTTTCCTCTGCACATAAAATCTGCAAATCCTCCAACTTTCTTCCCCCAGGCTCAGAGTGTAATTTCAAAACATTTTGGAAAAATAAACAATCCAGCAAAAGGCATTATCATTTCACATTTAGAGAAGGTGATTTTTTTCTTTAAACATTACATAGTAACTCAAACATGAAATTATTTTCTGAGTTCATATTGTCCCAATTATGGGTTTAAAACCTGTCTTCATTGATAAAAGAATGGCATTTTACCTCCAGATAAATTAAATATCCAATTTCAAAAACACAAAGAGTGACTCTATCTTACTGAGTTATTTCTGATAGCACAGGTGGGTAGATTTGAAGCTGGTGAAACAATGTCACCAAACCAGTGGATGGATGTCAATATGCACCAAGGATCAGAGAGGCTCCTCGAAA